GGAGGAATGTATGAGGAGGAATTAGACTTGAGGTCCAATAAAGTCATCTCATTTGCACAATGTCGGTCTAGGAACAATAAATCTCTTGCTACAGAAATTGCTGAAGCAGAAAACGATTTATTACACCGGCCTGCGGCTTCAACACTTATCCCCCTTATTACCTTCCTACCCAGAAATAGATTTCATGGAGGTGGAACAGAACCTTTTACAGCAGACGCCACTCCTCCCTCTTCCATCAACTTCAGCCCGGTCACTCTTCGATCTACTCTCTGTGAAGAATGATCCCCCATACAGTTTTGAGGACGAGCAAAGAACGACAGCTGCTAGTCCAGGGAAACCTTTGGAAGAGGATAGATCAACCTCAGGGATGAATGGCAAAATCTCTAATATACAAGAGTATGTAAAATCGCCAGGTCCTCACAATAAGAAGATGCAACACGAACACATGAAAGTTGTGGGTAATGGATGTATTTTTAAGGACACAGAGAATATTTTAGATATTATTGAAACATCAAAGTGACGATCAGTTTCCTTCCTCTCTTGGAACATTGCAGGCTGGCTCAATAAAACTCAGGACAGAGATTTTATGGATTATATCACACAATTTGACATAGTTTTTTTTACAGGAGACATGGATGACAAAGGAATTTAGCGTCCCAAATCATATGGCTGTATTAACCCCTGCTTCCCCAGGCTTAAAAGGGGGGAGACCCTCGGGTGGCCTAGGAATATTCATATCCACCTCTCTGGAAGCCTCTACTAAAGGGTTGATAAGTGATAAGGAATGGGTCACAGCTGTTATATTATCTTTCCATAAATATTCGGTTATATGTATAAATGTATATTTACGACCCCAATCTTCGCAGGAACAAACCAAAAGAATATGGAAGGAAGTCGAACGATATATCCTCGATTGTATACAAAAATTCCCTTCGGCAATGCTGATTATTGGTGGAGATTTCAATGCTAGATTGGGGCATAATGATGACCAATTCTTAGAAATATTCAGACTTAATGGTTTAGAAATTGATCAGCCCTTTTCAAGTCGTATATCTCTAGATCCGATGGCAAATTTTGCTGGCTCATGTATGATCCAAATGGTCTCCAAATTAAATTTAATTATACTAAATGAATCAGTTAAGGGTTAGGGTTAGCTGCTGGTGTGACCTTGGGTCGATTACGAATAGTTTCAGAGCTGTTCTGTCAAGAGCAGTTCTCGAAAGAGCTCTCTGAGCCCCACCTACTTCACAGGGTATCTGTTGTGGGGATGGGAAGGGATTGTGAGCCGCTCTGAGACTCCTTCGGGTAGTGAAGGGTGGGGTATACATCCAATTTCTTCTCCTCTTCCTCCTCCCTCCTGACTTAGTGTTGGTTAAAAGGGGCATTTGAATGCTCGCCTTGGGTCCGGCCTGAGTTCACGTTCACGGCTGCCTCCCCATTTCCCCTCTTGGCGTGACCCCCTTCATCTTCTAGGCAGTGCACAGATTTGGTTAGTGGACGCAAGTGGCAGGGTGGTGTCCCAGCCCAGGTCCCCAGGAGCACATGCTTTGGCCAGCCTTTTGTGGAATGCCCAGGGTGTGGGAAGCGAGGAGGCAAGCCTTGCATGGAATTTCCCAGCCGCTTTGCTCACTCTCTCTCTCTCTCAGTTAGGAGCTTAATAAGTAAACGGCAATGGACAACTAGGAGCTGCGGTGGCTCAAGTGGTTAAGACGCTGAACTGCAGGCTGCGGAAGGTCGGTAGTTCAGCAGTTCGAGACCTGGATGCCACATGACGGAGTGAGCTCCCGTCTCTAGTTCCAGCTCCTGCCAACCTAGCAGTTTGAAAGCAAGAAATTGCAAGTAGATAAATAGGTACCACTTCGGTGGGAAGGTAACAGCATTCCGTGCGCCTTGGTGTTTAGTCATGCCAGTCACATGACCACGGAAAGGTCTTCGGACAGCGCTGGCTCTTCGGCTTGGAAACGGAGATGAGCACCGCAACCCTCGAGTCGGACTCGACTAGCTTTCGAGCAAGGGAACCTTTACCTTTACCTTTTAATGAACAACTATGTGAGGCATCCTTGAAAATGATCCTGAACAGGCTCCAGAAACTCATTCCCTTCTGTAAGAGATAATTTTAATTGCTTCTTTCAGAAACAATACTGAATGGACACTGGCAATGGTGGTTTAGCTTTAAACGGATGGGGAGGGGGGGCTTTTAAATCAGGCTTCTAATTTGCACTCCCTCCCCCGTGTGTGTGTGTGACTGTTTCTGTAAAAGAGACTTCAGCAGCTTCTGATGCTGGCAGTTTGGGGTCGGAAACCACCCTGGTCCGTTGCCCTGGCCGCTTCCTCCATTTCTGAAGGCACTGAAGTCCTGTTCAGTGGACGTCGCTTCCCTAAGGCGGGCTGCTAGGCAGGATGATACGGTGGAAGGCTTCTGAAGGCTCAGCACACGGAAATGTCCTTTTCAAGTTGCTTTTTCTCTGGCAGTCTCTCCAGTGCCCTGGCCCGGTTTGTTTGTTTGTTTTCCTTTCTCCTTTTCTCCTGTTCTTCTTTCTCTCCCCACACCACCTAGAGGCGTTTCGATTTCCCCCAGGCATTCCTCTTGGAAGACCTGTCAGTCAAAACCTTGCAGCCAGCGTTGCCATAGCAACAGGCCTGGCCTCTCCGATCGAGGCAGAAACAAAAGCCATGGCTGACTTGTCACCGTTTAATATTTTTCAGTTCTGTGTCCCAACATGCCCTTTAAATAAGGCATGCCAGGGACTGTTAATGCAGAAAAAGAAATTCTCAGCCCTCACAAAAACCAGCATTTCCCACATCAGATTACCGATCAGCCTCTGTAATTAAAGGAGGGCTTCTGCACAGCAACCCGTATTGAGATGCTATTCAGGAGGCACCTACCATGTTGAGAGATGGGAGGGGGTCGCAAATCAGGGAAAGGAGTGTATGTTCTATGTCAGACGCAGTGGCCGGGGTCCTCGAACAACTGCCCCTCCCCCCCCAATGTCTTTCATAAATATCCACAGTTTTCCATAAAGAACTGCTGAATTTTGTTGCTGAGGGCCGTCAAGTCCAGCCCGCAGTCCAGATGTACATAAGAATGTGTGTACATAAGAAGAGCCCTGCTGGGTCATGCCAGTGGTCCATCATGCCAGTGGAAAAAGTGCAGAAAAGGGCAACTCGAATGATAAAAGGGTTGGAACACTTTCCCTATGAGGAAAGGTTTATTTATTTATTATATTTATACCCCGCCCATCCTGCGAGCAGGCTAAGGTTAAGGCGCTTAGGGCTCTTTAGCTTGGAGAAACGATGACTGAGGGGTGACATGATTGAGGTTTATAAGATTATGCATGGGAAAGAGCAGGTAGAGAAAGAGGTACTTTTGTCCCTTTCTCACAGTACAAGAACTCGTGGGCATGAAATTGCTGAGCGGTCGGGTTAGAACGGATAAAAGGAAGTCCTTCTTCACCCAAAGAGTGATGAACACGTGGAATTCACTGCCACATGAGGTGGTGGTGGCTAGAAGCATGGACGGCTTCAAGAGGGAATTAGATAAGCATATGGAGCAGAGGTCCATTATTTACCTTGACTTCCAGAAAGCTTTTGATAAAGTTCCTCATCAAAGGCTCCTAAGTAAGCTCAAAAATCATGGGATAGAAGGACAAGTCCTTTTATGGATCAAAAACTGGCTAGTTCATAGAAAACAGAGAGTGAGTGTAGGTGGGCAATTTTCTCAGTGGAGGGTGGTAAGCAGTGGGGTACCGCAGGGATCAGTACTTGGTCCACTGCTTTTTAACTTGTTCATTAATGATTTGGAGATGGGAGTAAGCAGTGAAGTGGCTAAATTTGCGGATGATACAAAGTTGTTCGGGGTGGTGAAAACCAGTGAGGATTGTGAGGCACTCCAAAGGGATCTGTCAAAGTTGGGCGAGTGGGCGTCAACATGGCAAATGGGGTTCAATGTGGCCAAGTGCAAGGTGATGCACATTGGAGCCAAAAATCCTAACTATAAATACACGTTGATGGGGTCTGAACTGGCAGAGACTGATCAAGAGAGAGATCTTGGAGTTGTAGTAGATAACTCACTGAAGATGTCGAGACAGTGTGTGACTGCAATAAAGAAGGCCAATGCTATGCTGGGGATTATTAGGAAGGGTATTGTAAACAGATCAGCCAATATCATAATGCCGCTATATAAATCAATGGTGCGACCTCATCTGGAATACTGTGTGCAATTCTGGTCACCACACCTTAAAAAGGATATTATAGCTTTGGAAAAAGTGCAGAAAAGAGCAACTCGAATGATAAAAGGGTTGGAACACTTTCCCTATGAGGAAAGGTTAAGGCGCTTAGGGCTCTTTAGCTTGGAGAAACGATGACTGAGGGGTGACATGATTGAGGTTTATAAGATTATGCATGGGAAAGAGCAGGTAGAGAAAGAGGTACTTTTGTCCCTTTCTCACAGTACAAGAACTCGTGGGCATGAAATTGCTGAGCGGTCGGGTTAGAACGGATAAAAGGAAGTCCTTCTTCACCCAAAGAGTGATGAACACGTGGAATTCACTGCCACATGAGGTGGTGGTGGCTAGAAGCATGGACGGCTTCAAGAGGGAATTAGATAAGCATATGGAGCAGAGGTCCATCAGTGGCTATTAGCCACAAGGTATAGATAGGGACTCTGGGGCTAGTGATTCTCTGTCTTCTTGGTGCTTAGGGGGGTCAACAGTGGGAGGGCTTCTAATGTCCTGGCCCCACTGGTGGACCTCCTGATGGCACTGGTATTTCTGGCTTCTTCTTCCTCTTCCTCTTCCTCCTCTTCTTCCTCTTCCTCTTCTTCCTCTTCTTCCTCCTCCTCTTCCTCCTCTTCCTCTTCCTCTTCTTCCTCTTCCTCTTCCTCCTCCTCTTCCTCCTCCTCCTCTTCCTCTTCTTCCTCCTCCTCTTCTTCCTCCTCCTCTTCTTCCTCCTCCTCTTCTTCCTCCTCCTCTTCCTCCTCCTCTTCCTCCTCTTCCTCTTCCTCTTCTTCTTCCTCCTCTTCCTCCTCTGCTTCTTCCTCTACTTCCTCCTCCTCCTCTTCCTCCTCCTCCTCGCCTCTCTGTTTCACCACCTTCAGAACTATATCTTGAAACCTAATATGAGGCACCTTGGACATTTAAACAGACAGAGTTATGCTCTATATTTGTATATTTAAATGTAAAATCTGTATATCAAGAGCATGGTGGGTTTTTTTCTATGAGCACAGGATAAATTGGCCTTTGTTGTCGTTGTTGCGGGGGGGGGGAGTGAACTCCAAATCCATGCCTCTTACTAGAAGAAAGGGGGAAGAAAGGTGGGGTCGGGGGGTAATGATTCTGAAAAATCAGCTTGGTGACTTCTGAGACTCCTTCTGGAACTCTCTCCTTGCTCGGATCAGGCCTC